ATATAGTAAGGATGGAAGGTACATGAGACCCTGTACCAGACATCACGGTTGGCTCCAGAACTCCGAACGGCAGTTTGTGGCCAACTACCCTGCAACACTTGGACTGGAACTAGACCTGTCAGAGGGCACAGGATAAATGACTATCCAATGAGGGGGAAAAGGCCTCTGCAAGTGTTGACACAATAGCAGCTGTTGCAGTGGGTAATGCAGAAAGGGGAGATAAGGCAAACACCAGCACAACAGGTTTAATTGGAATGACAGGTGATTTTCAGTGGAATTTCAGACTCCCCAAGAAGGAATTCTTGCTTTGAATAAAGTTATTATGGAAGAGAAAGAAATGTGTGGGCAGGAGATGGCCTTTTAAAGATTCCTAAAAATAGTTTGAGGGCACAGAACAAGCAACTGAAAGTCTTGCTCTGGTTTTCATCCTCTGGTGAGGATGTGTGTGTGTAGCTCACCTCATGGCCATGTCTATGACAACAGAGCTCTTTAGACTGTGGACATTTGGACCCCCTTTCCAGCCAGGAGCTCATAACAGTTTGGGGTCCTTGCAAACTCCCGTGTCCATTTCTCTGTATAAGAGTAGAGGAAATGAGGGGTGGCCTGGGTGGCTCAGTTGGTTAAGTGTCTGCCTTCAGGTCAGATCGTGATCCCAGGTCCTGGGGTCCTAGGATCTAGCCCCCGATGGGGCTCCTTCTGCTTAGCAGAGGAATCTGCATCTCCCTCTCCCTCTGACCCTGCACTTTCTCTCACTCATTCACTCTCTCTCAAATATATAAAACCTTAAAAAAAAAGAGTAGAGGAAATGAGCAAAACAGATTGTAATATCAGACAAACCACCCTCCCATGATGAGAATATTTAGTCTATGCGACAGACCAAACCTACAAGAATGAGTATTTTCAGTCTTTCTTGCCCTCTAGGAAGATACTCTGTCATTGACAGCTGGGTGCTCCGAGCACCTGCTCAGAATGGAGGGCAAAATCAAAGGAGATGAAACAAGGACAAGGAATTCCTTCTCACGGAAGAGAAAAAGAATATATCCAAGTGGTGAAGTAAGCAGGTGAGTGAGAAAGCAAGGGACAGACTTGAGAGAAAGTTTGGGGGTATCTGCAGAGAAAGGAGAGGGAATGGGAGCTACAGCTATGTCAGGATGTGTGAGATGAGTAGAGAAGGAGGGAAGAAAAGTTTAAGGTGTTTTGCTTTGTGCCGAGAATGCAAATTCCTTTAGAGTTTTCCCAGGGACTATAATAAAAATAAAGTGCTTTTTAGTTTTTTGGCTGTTGGATGTGTTTCTTTTGAATGTGATATCATGCTGAGATGGGCCCTAAGGCAACTCAATGCAATAAAAGTTACATCTGGAGAGCACCGTCTGGGATCGTGGACCTTAAGTGTAGCAGTCAGCTCTGCCTTGATTTTGATCATCACTCTTGATCTGGGTCAAGACAGCATCTTCATCACAGCTGTTGAATTTATAGTTCAAAAAGTACACCAGCTATATAAAAGATAGATTGGAGATAAACTGGATGCCAGATAGAAGAAAATGGCGGAAACTACTAAGAATCACAATTCTAGTGAGAATGTGATGTTTGGAACTAAGTGTACCTGACAGAGACCTGTATCTATGTATCATGGAATCTCTTCCCCGCATTGGCTCATGAGACTGGGATGAAGGAATAGAACAGCTAGGGTGGTTCCCTGAAGATAAAAGAAAGGCAAGAAGCAGAAGGGGTTATTTTTTTTTCTTGCTATAGGGCATACATGCTATGTGTGAATACTTTAATGACATGGTCAGAGTACCCATTGAGCCTCCTTCTGCTTGGGATTGGATCCATTCAACAAACCCTGGGGGTACTGGCATCCAGAGGTCCCAGCCCTGAAACCCCACCAGGAAACTGAGGCTTCTTTGCTCTCTGTATCTGTCCCCCTTATTTTTCAGTGGCTAGACACTTTTATTTTTCCTAGTTCCATTTCACACAGAATTCCTAAAATGATCTGGTTCTGAATCTGATGCACCAATTGTCTCCTCCTCACATTTTCAAGTCCTGTTACTAGTCGACTCCCCCAGTTCCCACCTACCCTTGGCTCTCAAATGTCTGACCTGGAACTTGACTGGATCAGCCACACCCCTTGATCTCTGCACCTGTTTCCTATGTTCTTTCGTGCTTCTCCAATAATTTCCCTTCCCTCTAGGCTCAGACCCCCTATACTTTCAGCAGACTTCTTGCCAGCATCTCTGGACAGCATGATATAATCTTATGCTGAAAGACTTGACATACATGGTATCCTCAACAATAGTGGCAAAAAGCCCTTTATGATGACATAAGTCAGCTCCTACTGTATGGGGACTATGTTTAATGTAAGAGTAATACTAAGATGTGAGTTCCTATACAAGGGGCAGGGTCATCTTTACAGGTAGAAAGCAGGGACCCACCTGAAGGCTGAGAACGTTGACAAGCTGAAATCGTCCATGTGAAGTGCTGGTCAAGAATGTGAAGTAACAGACCCAGGCAAAAAACCCAGAAGTCCTGTCTTTTCTGGCTATGGCAGAGCTCTCCAGAGAAGGATGAACAGCATGGTTGAATCCACATGCCCTGAGAACATGCTTGCTATAATATGAGATCAGAAACTTATGCTGTGTAAGTTCAGCCTTGTGTGTGTGTGTGTGTGTGTCTTTGTTTCTAGTTTTCTTATATTTTTCTGGTAAAGTCTTTTTGTAAATACCAGCCCACTTCAGCTGTGCTTAGGAAAACCAAGGAAAAGCATTTCTGTCTTCTCCTAAGCTTTGGGAATAACCCTTGAACAGGGTGGACGTAGGAATGACAACCAACGTGAGAGCGCCACAAGCTGGTGGAATAAAGAAGAAGGAATGAGCAAGCAAAAGGACAAAATCATTTGTTTTTAGAAAATATCATACTGTAGGGTTTTAATTTGTTCACGTATTTATTTTGGGAAATCAAATTTCTAATGGCTGCGTAATATATCAGCAGTGCCTTAGGTTAAACTTCCTGCTGTTTAGGTTATTTCCCCCATTTAGTTCTATTTTAATAATAGTAAAATAGACATAAACCAAACAGTTCTTTAGTGCTACAAAGGTTTCTCTGGGCTAGCCCCACTCTTCCTTATAAGAGCAGGCCACCAGGGAAATCTCAAGGTAACATGCTCAGGATGTACAAAACAGTCACCCATACCTAGCTTTCCCCTAGCTTGAAGTGATAGTTTGTTTTTCCACAAGAGTCATTTCTTCGTATGAAATTCATTTTTAGTTTCTGACCACTTGGCTTCTCCCAATTTACTAGAGTCATTACTAATTAGTATGCTGCTGCCCAGGTGCTTTTGCTTCTCAGTCTCAAGTCATCTGTAAATATATTAAAGTTTTCTTCCTCTTCTCCTTTCCCACTCCACTTCTCCAGTAGGGAAAGGAGTTGTCACAAAGGCTGAGGCACTCAAGTGTGTCTGTACATGGACACTGGGCCTGTGGAGGGGAAACTGCAGTACCGCACACTGTCCCCACCCATCCCTTCCACACATGGCCAACAGTTTACCTTTCACCTGTGAGCTAATGCAGAGTGTTATTCAGTTAGAAATAATATTATAGATTACCCAGTCCAATCCCCTAACGGATCAGGAAAATTATTTATCCAAGTTCTCTGAATTAAAAGGCAGAAACAAAATTGAATTCAGGTCCCCAAGCATCAGCTGTGTGTGGGCTGGAGAGTTCTGGATGAGGGAATGGGAGCATAGTGGTTCCTGTTAAAGTATTCATTCAATAAATACATAGAGCTTTTATTTACTACGTGCCAGGCACTATTTTAGGTGCTGGGAATTCCGTGATTGCGGGCGTGGAGACAACCTCTGCCCTTAAGGAGCTTTCGTTCTCAAAACTTAAGTACTTTGCTTCATCATCCTGGAAAAATTCCCCGTGCCCAGGGTAGGAACGGTTGGGTCTCATCTCATATGTAAGGGAATCCCATCTTTCCTTAGCTTCTGTGCGATCTGCAGGGAGAGGGGTGATTTACTGCAGTAGCCGAAGAGAAAGGCGGGCACCTCCTCAGTGCCCTCCCCGCCCTCTGTACCGCGGAAGCCGGGCGGGGCCTACTCTGCCCCAGCGCGCAACCTCGCCCAGCTCAGGTCTGGGATTATTAGCGCTGGCCTCTCTACCCTCTCTGCTTTCCTGCGGACGGCTGGAGGACAGAGTAACAAGACCCGGCTCTAGCGCCATCCTCCGAGAAAGGACTGCGGGTGGGTGAAAAATCCTTGCAAGGCGGTTGCGCTCAGGGTCTAGTACCCAGACTGGGGGAGGGACGAGTTCTCCCTGACCTGGAGGTTTATGCAGCAAACTGCTCTCTCATGCTTCCCTATTAAGCATCGCAGCTGCACGCTCTTTCCACTCAGCAGAGGCCACTGCAGCGTCTCCTCCCCTCCTGCCCCACCCGCTAGTTCAGACTCTAGAGCCCCACTGCAGCTTCGCAACCATCCTTCCTTTTCTTCTCCACTTCCTGGTTGCCATGGAGATACACGTCATTTACGTGCCGTGCGTCGCCTTGGAAACAGGGGAGCATCCGCGGCGCCGCTGGGAGACCCGCCCCTGCCACTCCAACCACACTCGCGGGCGCTGCCGGTTAATGGCCGGGGGTAGTCCCGAGCGGTACCCACTGCTGGCCCCCACCCGGACCCCTCCGCGAGAGCTTCTGTGACCCAGAGAACCCGCGGGCACTTGCAGCTCGTGGCGCCCGGAGGGAGGCGCTGACACGGGCTCAATTCAGGAGGCGAGGCGGGTCTGGGCGCTTTCGCCCCGGGGCAAGCCGGAGAGTCGCCGACTTGGGACTCTTCGCCGGGTCCTCGTCCCGCCGGCTCTTCCCGGCCTCCCCCGATCCTGCCCGCGCCCTCCGCCCGGGACTCATCTTCTCACGTCGGCTCCCCGCCCCTCTCGGGAGCCTCCTTTTCCCTCGGCTCCTCCCCGCCCCTCCGGGGACCTGTCCCCCATCCCTGTCCCTCCCCCCACCCCGGAGGCCGGGCTGGACCGGACCCAGAGCCGCCACCGCCCGCTTCTGCCATTCAATGGAGGACGGTCCGCTGGAGATCATGACCAAGGACGGCGGCGACATGCCGGCACCTTTGGAGGTGTCCACCGTGCCGGCCGTGGGGGATGTGATCTCCGGAGAGTACAACGGCGGCATGAAGGAACTGATGGAGCACCTGAAGGCCCAGCTGCAGGCCCTGTTTGAGGACGTGAGGGCCATGCGGGGGGCCCTGGACGAGCAGGCCTCGCACATCCAGGTGCTCTCGGACGACGTGTGCGCCAACCAGCGGGCCATCGTCTCCATGTGCCAGATTATGACCACGGCGCCCCGCCAGGGCGGTCTGGGCGTGGTCGGCGGCAAGGGGAGCTTCCGGGGTGCCCCCCAAGAGCCGGAGACCCCTTCGCCTGGGATCGGGGACAGCGGTTTGCTGGGTCGCGATCCTGAGGACGAGGACGACGATGAAGAGAAGGAGATGCCCAGCTCCGCCACACCCACTAGTCACTGTGAGCGCCCCGAGAGCCCCTGTGCTGGTCTCCTTGGGGGGGACGGGCCACTTGTGGAGCCCCTCGATCTGCCCGACATTACCCTGCTGCAGCTGGAGGGCGAGGCCTCTCTGTGAGGGGACTCCGAGGGGCACTACTTTCCTGGGCTGGCTTTGGGTTTCCGAGTGCATGACGCGAGGGGACTGAACGGTGCGGTGCAGCATGCTTCACTCCGACTGCTGCTCTTGTGGGTCAGGCAGAGTGACTCCCTCGAGGAAGGATTTATAGGGTGAAGGACTTTGGGAGCATCAAGAATTCTTTCTGCCTAACTAAGGGAGACAAAAGCAAACTGCGGAAAGGTGAGGTTCCGGGAGAGGAAGCGCCCATCTCTGGACTCCCATCCATCCCCTACCCTGCCCATTCCCCCTCCCCAGCCAACAGGAGAACCCCTGAATTGTGTAAATAAAATTCTGCTTTTTCTATTCTGAAAAAGGACTTATCTAGGACTATGGCAAATAATCTCTAGCGGTTTACCTAGAAATTAAGGAATTGGGGGTATTCTGTTCTGGCAACAGAAAATTTACCCTTCTGCTGAAATCCAAGATATTCAGCGCTCTGCAGAAGCCTCTCCCCCTCACAGATCTCTGCGGCTGCTGATTGGTAAAGGAAGCTTGAGGAGGGAACTGCAGCCCTAGGAATCTGGGTGAATGGGGTTCCAAGGGCCCCTGGGCTGGGAGGAGCTGGCTATGAATGTGCATGAAGACATAATAGCTCAACCTCTAGGATTCTTGCATGCAGAGCGGATCCTGCCTTGTCACTGACTTCATCGGGGATTGCTTTATCCACCCACTGGGGCTTAGAGAACAAAGAGCCCAGTACACAGGCAGAGACTTGGGGGTGCTCAGCAGCAGCCCAGATTTAGGGGACGTTTGAGGGACTCTTGGGGGCCGCAGCCAAAAACTGTCTCTCTCCTGGCTATACCCGCTTAACTTCAGTTCCTTTTCCTGTCAATTTGTCCCTGCCCGCTGCCTCTCGGTGTTGCCTCCATAATGTCCTGTGTGTGTTATGTGTGTTGACTTGTGTAGTAGTGTGTGAGCCCTGAGGGGCAGGGCTTGTGGCTCTGGTGTTAGGTTCAGGGGGCTTCAAACCCTTCTGTGAGTCCCAGGCTATCATGGCGCTTTCCCCTCTCCTTTCCTCTTTCCCCCCACAACCAGGGCATGGAGCATGTGGCTGTCCTGAGGTTCTTAACTGATGTGCCTCCCTCCCACCTCCTTAAGTAGTAACTTTGTGTGCCCTTTCTCCTCCGCTGTGTATTCCTTCTCAATGCTTTCCTTGGTGTTAACCTTAATAAAGAGGCGTCATCTCCCCTTCTTGCTGACTGGTACTAGGGGGATGTCAGGGTGGGGCTTCTGGGCCCACTATATGGACCAGGGCTTAGGGGGGAATTGCAGGGACCATGCCTTCCCTCCTCTCTCCTTGCCTCCGGTTCCAAGGAGTTGACTGACCCTGCCCTGGTCCGGACGTGCATTGCCAGCTCTATCTACTTTCCCTTGCATCCCGGACCTTGAACTCAAGTTGGATGGGGGGAAGGAGAGCGTCTGTGTTGAGTCTTCCGGGTTTTAGTAGCAGAACTCCAGATGTGCAAGTGACTTCAGTGAAGCGCCTGCTCCCTGAGAGATGACTTCCAAATCTGAGCTGTGGAAGGGCAGGCATGACACCTGTTCCATGGGAGGGTTAGGGATTGGGGATTGTGGGTATTGTTCTGGAGGGATTGCCTTGGATCTCTGGAATAGAGTGACACATCACAAAAGAAACCACAGTAACTGCCTTGGGCCTCTAGTGGAGAATGCCGGTAAGTTATTCCCTGTGGAGCTTAGACTGACATCAGCTCTAGTTTGCTCCCTTGGGCTATGGAATTTCCCAGGACTGCCCTTGGGAAGACGAATGAGCTGGAGGGCTCTGTGTGTGTGTGTGTGTGTGTGTGCTGTGCATATGAGTATATGTGTATGTATGTGTACCTGCGTTCTTGCTGCTGGTTGCTGCGGAGAGGTTGAAAGAGCACTGGAACCACAGATCTGGGTTTGAATCTCAGTTCCAACACTGAATGACTGTTTGAAACTTGGTTTGCTGCTTGATACTTAATTTCTGCCTGTGTAAAATGGGGACAAGAAGTTGCTGGGGATAAAAATATCTAAGACCTGTAGGAACTCTTGTGCAAATGTTAGTTTTTTTTAATAGTTCTCTTGGGATGGGGGTGGTGATGGTAGTGACTGGGTCCTCTGGGAAAACAAAACAACCTAGAGAAGGTCCTAGAAGCTCTCTTTTTATATTAATCCTTCCCCATCTAAATAACTCTTAACTTTTAGGATAGTCAAATAAAGAGGGATGATGAAATTCCCAAGGTGACATGGGGCTTTTCATCATAAATGCCATGCAGTTATGGGCCAAAAAGGTCTTGGGGGCCAGCCCTGTATAGAATGACCAAAGGAAGCTTTGGTTGCTGTTGTTGGGGAATGGGTGGTGGGGCCCTAGAGAGGGCAATTAAAGTATATTTGTGTTGAAGTATCCCCAAAGGCTGGGAGATAGTTTCCTATTATATTTCCAGCATTCAGCACCAATAACAATGATAGCTATTATTTACTGAGCACGTACCATGTGCTGGACACTGCCCAATTTCATCTCCAGTGAGAAGTAAACACTATTTCTATTTTCACTTAACAGTTCCAGAAACAGACGCCAAGACTTTCTCAAGGTCACACAGCTAGTACTTGGCAGAACCAGGACTTAAACCCAGGTTTTCTGACTTAAAGAACCCTAAATTGGAACTACTGTGCTAATTGCTTTATTATTTAGATATTCAGGTCCCTTATTTCCTCAGTCAATCTAAGAGTCCTGAAAAGTAAATAACATTAGTTTTAGTCCCTTTTCATCTTCTTGATGAGAATAAGAAATTGCAGTTCAAGTTTTAGTTTGTGGCCCTCATCAGAGTCTAGTGGATGATAATATAATAATGGCACTGAGAAGATGGCCTTTTGGACCTGTTCCTTGAAAGGAAGAAGCCAGTGCTCCTGGATATTCTCTGACACTGCTCCATTCTTGTGCCTCTTTCCTGTTCCCTACAGCTCAGTTTCTGCAGAGTCTGACAGGAATCCCAAGGCAGCTAAGCCCTTTAGCCTCTATAGAAAGGTCTGGGTTGAGCTCTTTACCCTTTGGCTCCATTTAAGTTCCCCTTCCTATGCCCACTGTCCTAAATGTGTCATAAGTCCCTTAGCCCAAGACCTCCCAGAAGTTCTCTAGCTACTCCTCCCAAGCCCAGATAAAAATCTCTGCAGAAAAAACAATTCTTCAGCTCTTTAAAGTTACCTGCCCCGGGATCTCCTAGGGGTCCAGCACAGATTGGCCTTCCACCACCTTATTTCTCCCTTCTCCCCATCCTTCCCTTGCATTTCCCCTTTGGGATGCTCCTGATGAGTGAGTCTCAGGTGAGACATCTAACCTGGGACTCATGGACAGGGCCATTATTGAACTTCCAGAGGCCACAGCCTCTTGAAACCAAATGCAAGAGTGTGTAAATATGAACATTCTCTAGAGACTTCTGTTGTTTCAACTTAATTCTTAAAGATAAGAATTAAGTAATAAAGGTCGCAGAGCTGAAGAGGAATGAAACTTTTTAGCTTGAAGAATACCAAGCCAGAGATGACCCTGCTGAGCCAGTACTGTATGGCACCCCTGCCTCCTGGGGCTTCCAGAACATTTGCCACAGTGAATTGAAATCTTCATATAAATCTGACTATTCACCACCTATTCAACAAATTCAAATTATATCAACACCTGTGCTAAGAATCCTGTCTCCCATTATTTCCAAGTCTTTTTGTACTTGGGAATTTGCCCGAGCACTGCTGATGAATATGGGTGAAGAGGTGCACCTCACCCCCCAAAAGTTCTGCACTGCACTTTGTGTCTGTGCCTAACACCACACTGTGTGTAACTCGTCATAACTCTTTCCATTTCTGGCACTTTTATCTCTCACCAGTCTAAGGAAAATCTCTCAGGGTTAGCTCTTAATCTCAAAATGAAAAGACATACAGCTTCATAGAGATAAGCTACAACTGTTGCCTGGTACAAGTAAAATCTGTTCTAGAGAAATAATTATTTTTAGAAGAGATGCAAAATGGCGTCTAACATAAATATGCACTTTTGTGTGGCCTCAGGGTCAACTTATGATCTCTGCTTGATTATGTGTAATGAAATGGCTCCCCTAGAAGTTTTCCCAGAACTAAGGAACAGTACAATACATGTAATTCTATACTTCTGGCAAGATGGACAATGGCTCGCATCTTTGAAAAGGCAGGCTTTCTAGGCATCTTTCCACATGTACATGACTAGGGATAGAAATTCAGCCAAGATACTCTCGACAGTAAGAAATGAAATAGAAGTATAAAAGGAGAAATAGAAGTATAAAAGGGATAATAACCAGTCTGTTATCCCAACTACCAGTTCCCCCAACTTCCATATTGTCCCCAGAAGGTGGATTCCCTCACAGAAACACAGCCTTTCTCCTTGGAAGCACCGTGCTTATAAAAGGCAGTCTGCTCTGTAAATGGTGCTGTCTTGGCGCCACCTAGTGAGGAATAGGGACATTACAAGGGGACCCTCCGTGAATTTATGGCTTTCCATTCAGCAAGCGCTACCAACTGCTTACTAAAGGCCTGGCCCTTTGCCAAATAGTGGGTGGCCGAGGAAACAGAATAAATAGAATGTATTTGAACAATATAAAAACCAACTGCAGTAAACTCCTGACTGGTCTCCCCTGGCTTCTCACACACCTGTAATCCTGAAGATTAGTCTTCCTAAACCGCAGCTCTGAGCACTCATTCTCCTCAGAAATCTGCATCATGTCCCCACTACTTCCCGAATTAAGCATAAAATCCAGTGGTTGTAGGAAGTCAGGGTTCCCTTGGATAAGACCCTGACATACTTTTTTTAAACCCATACATTTATTTCCTAGGTACATTTTCTAACCAACCTTTCCATCTTTGGAAGCCTGTATCATCCAGTCAGCTAGAAATGATTCCCAAGGGTATCCCAGTTCTTTTAAATCTCTGGACCAGTAGACAGGATGAGTCCCTCCTGGTCCTTGATTCTTTGTTCATTCTCTTCCCACTCTATTCTGTTTCTGCCTGTTGGAATCCTACCAATTCTTTGTGGCCCTTCTCAAATGCTACTACTTTCATGTAGCCTTTCCCAATATCTCTTCTTCCTTTAAATATCCAAATCTTGGGGCACCTGAGTGGTTAAGCCTCTGCCTTCGGCTCAGGTCATCATCTCAGGGTCCTGAGATCAAGCCCTGCATCTGGCTCTCTGCTCAGCGGGGAGATTGCTTCCCCCTGCCTGCCTCTCTGCCTACTCATGATCTCTCTGTTAAATAAATAAATAAAATCTTTAAAAAAAAATCTGCCTGCCTCTCTGCCTACTTATGATCTCTCTTTCTTGTTAAATAAATAAATAAAATCTTTTAAAAAATATCCAGATCTTACTTCTTTTGGGGACAATTATTATATTTTTCCTTACTTATGTTATTTAATGTGCTTGTTATTATCTCTTCTAGGTTATGACTATCTTGAGGGCTGGAACTTCTTTCTCATTTTTATAATCTCTTAAGTATTTACCTTATTTTATTGACTTTAAAGCACCATCAATTGTGTAACACATCATTTTAGGTACTATTATAAAAAAATGTTGTCAACTAAACTTTATCACTTTTATTTTAAATTTTCAGTCTGTTTAAAGAGCTCATTTAGACTTATTTAGAAATAGAACTTTTTTTGTATCACTACGATGCACACAAATTCAAAGTCATTATGGAATTCTTATAATTTCTTCATATTGAGTCTAACACTTATGAATCACTTTTGACTCAGGGTTGCTGATGTCTCTATTTTTCCAAACGTTTATATTCTCTGGGTCATTTTGAGTATTATTGAAGCAGCATTTCTTAAAAAAAAAAAAAAAAAAAAAAGAGCTTCACTGTTGTCTCTGGCAATTTCTTCCAGGCCACAAACCTATTCGGCAAGTTTTAAAGCTGGGACTTTTTTTTTATCTTGTCAGAAAGTGTTCAAGGAATATGTTCAGACAACAACCAGGACTAACATTCCTTTGAATGGTCCTTGAATGGTTAATTAACAGAAACATCAAGGGATTGTGGATTTCCAGTCATACTACCTAGAATAACAACTAGGCTCAGGCATGTGTAGGCGGTGGCAACTATGTCATAACTGCTGTTTGGCCAACGGTAATTGTAAGATGACATTGATTACTGATTATAAGACACATCCCATTTCAGAAATGCTAAAATGGGGAGGG